ACTCCTCCAATTCCGACATTACTAGCATCACAATCCAGTATGTACGGCAGTGAGTGATCTGGAAGCTTTAAAAAGTGGAGCTGAGGCCAATTTTTCTTTAAATGTCTTGAAAGCATCCTGGCAAGAAACTGTACATTTAAACTTCTGGCCTTTTTTAGTCAAATCATGTAGTGGAGCAGCTATAGTTGCAAAGTTCTTCACAAACTTCCGGTAATAGGTACAGTGTCCCAAGAAACTTCTTAACTCTTCCACATTGTCTGGTGTTGGCCAGTGTTGCGTGACTTTCGCTGTCGTAACAATATTTATATATATATACAACCTCAACGCCTTGCGTATGATACTGGATTGATAATGTGTAGCAACTCGACTAAATATTAAATTTACAACTAACATGGCATAAAGTTTGTGTCTATTGGAAATAAGAAGTTTATGATAACGCTATACGTTTCAACAGGTTGACCTAGCATTTTCAGGTCATTGTCATATAATGGTTTGAAAAAGAAATAAACATAAGTTTTAAATTTAAACCGACATAAGAACCTTAGTAATGCAAATGACTCTCCTACATTATGACGTTAATGATAACGAAATTAAACATAAAGAATAATAATTAATGTTTTCGTCTTGAATTTACATTCTGAGTATAAGATTTATTTTATTACAAGTTACAACTTTTATAACTAGAAATAATTGTTCTTAAACAGGAACGACGATTCGATCACTGGTGTCTCGTATTAATAATCTAGCTTCGAAATACGAGTAAACTACGTCAACATCTTAACGTCATGCGCCTTCTGTCTAACATGCAAGTCGCAACATTAAAAATATAGCTTACAACAGTGCTGTCAAAATCTGTCCTTCAGTATTTCTTAAAAGACAACTTGACAATTAAAAACGTTAAATATTGTTACGTCTCTGTATGTTTGTTTGTTAATTCTTCTAAGATACAAGTCCTTTCTTTATAAAACTTGTTTATTCTTCCTCAATACAGCTTTGTAATGCACTTAATTTTCACAGTTACACACACTATAGTTCACAACAATTCACTCCCTTTCTATCGCGCTTAGACTTAATTGTCCGTCCTCGCAAACTATAGTTCCGATCTCTGTGTCTGCTATCCTCAGTTCCCGCCGACCGTAATCGCTGTCTTTCTTTCTCTCTGCCTGCTTCGTCTGTGTTACGTCTCTGCCTCCACTACTGCTTCGACTCCGTCTGTCTCTCTCACTGTCTAGCGCACTTATATACGACAATACTGCCTGTTCTAGAAACTTCTAGGACTCTGAACACGTGCGACCAGCGTCACTTGACTTCCGCTGTCTTCACGTGACCCCGCTGTCGTAACACACTAGCGAATCTTCTAGAATACTCGTCACGTGACCCCACTGTCGTAACAATATTAATATCACATGTGACAAATTGCATCATAGAACTCAGATTTTTTCATACACTCATTAAGGCATATAATTCAAAATTAAAGAATAAAGTAGCACAGTCCCTTATACTTATTTATCTACGGGAATCGCAAAAAAGGACATTTAAGATAAATTATACTGTATATTAGCACAAACTATTCCTATTCTTACTCGGACAACAGCTTTTCAGATAACAGAAAAATTGATTTGAAAAACAGAAGGCCAATATATAACCACTGCTTTGTAATAAAAGTCAGGCAAACAACAAATTATATGCATAAGGAAAAATTTTATTGGTCTGTCGAAACATGTAATATGTTCCACCATAAATACAATTCTTCTTTATGCTTATAAATCGTTGTTTGCCTAACTATTATTATAGTAGCCTAACGTACTTCCATATTTAATTTCTGTACTACATATAGGTGGACAGAAGACATATTAATAAACAACCTTATAACACCAAAATGTTGTGTTCATCAAAATCTTGAAACCTTATATTGTCAGTTTCGGTTTATGTTTTAGTGAACGCTTCTGAAGAAGCTGTAAAGTGAAACGTTGAATCTATAATTAAGTAAAAACAACATTTTGGTGTTATAAGGTAGTTTATTTCTAGTATTAACATACTTCCGCATTTAAGCACCGCCCTGTAACAATATTTCGCATACGAACTAAACAGATGGCGCTTTTTGCCAACAAAAAAGTTGTAATCAAAGTTAAGAATATCGTAACTTTATTTGTAGGATATATGGATATATTTTGCAGTGTGATAAAGGTTTCAAATTTTTGTATTTCATTGTTTGTAAAGTGTTACTAGTTAATATCTTTACGATATACTCTATTGTACGTAAGTGTTATATAGTGCATTGTACATGTTAATAATAATATGAACTTCTCGGTGTTCGCCTAAAATAAATTCCGTCATTTATCGTAAGTAGCCAGCCTAGGCCTCAGTCAAAAATTATATTATTATTATTAGTAATACTATTATTATTATTATTATTAACTTAACTAAGAATTAGTTTTTTATATACCTAACATGGTGACAGTAACTCATTAACTACAATTAGCCCTAAACGTGCTCTATTCACTTGTGCGACTTTCCATTTCACGGACACTTTCCTTCGATATTTCAAGAAATACTAAATTACTCCAAGTTCCAACAGAACACACCCTAACACAGTAAGTTGGTAACACACAAAATTACACGCCTAAGTTAGCTATGTTTTAGGGATAAAACAATAGGTCTAAAACATTTAAATCTCAATATTAAATATTACATTAACTGACAATGACATAATAAAATAACAGTTGAAAACAACGTATGCGAGACGTATAAATTCAACGTTGTGAGAATGAATTGTGAAGCTGGTTAACTTGGAAACACAGAACACCATGTCTGTTTTATGATGAATAAGATGGTGGTGTTATAAGAATCTATATTTTAAAAGTAAAAAGGGATTGAGATATAACATATAAGGCAATAGGGAAGCAGTTAGAAGCATTGTAATCTCTTTGTGCTATAATAATAAAACAGCATACTTATGTAAATTGGGTGACAGTATGTGGGAAAATTAAAATTTTTTACATTGTTTGTAAGCAGTACTAAGTTCATAACTACCTTATACATTAATACTGGGTGCAAAATCACCCTATTGCCTTATTGGTCATGCCTTTTTCCCTTCTTGGAGATGGTAACATGATAAGTGGAGGATTGGGCAAAACTTGTATGGGGTGGGCTTAACTCATCGGAGTGCTATGATGACCATGAAAGCCATCCTAAGTCATCATGAAAATGTTATGGCTAATGGATGTGTTGAAACCCTCATTGCCTGAGATGAGGCTCTTTAGTCAAAGCTAAAGGGGTAAACCTTAAATAAGTTCAACAGAAAGCAAGGGCAAAACCACTGTTGTATCTGTCAAGAAAATATCATACCAGAAATGAAATTGATTACATTTTACTCAACAAGAGGTTCAGAAATACATTATAGACAGTAAAAACTTATCCTAACATGGACTAATAGTGATCACATTACACTTCAAGTGAAACTGAAAATAAAAAGGAAAAACTAAATAATGCAGTTAGACATGGATATATTACAGTTTGGCATAATGATAAAAGAAAAATTCACAATTACATTTAAAACCAGATTCAGTGCTTTGTTAAACCAAGGAAAGGTAGAATCTCAAAGGAAACAAATGAAAGATTCAGTCAGTTGGTCAGCATAAGAAACTATCCAAGAACAAGAGAGAAACACAAGTATGTGGATGACAAATGAAATATGTAATCTGATGAAAATAAGATGAGCAAAGGCAAATAAGGAAAAACATAATAACCTTAATAAAGATATAAGGTCTAAGTGCAATAAGGTACAAGAAGAATAGCTTGAAACATAGTCTGCTGAAGTATAAACAAGACATGAAAGGCATGCACAAATAGGTGAGAGACTACTGGAAAAAAAAATACATGCTCCTCAAGTAGATGTCTGAAGGCAAAGGACAAAAGCTTTATTATGAAAAACAGAAATGTCAGAGAGACGGTTAGAATATATTAAGGAACTAGGTTATAATGGCAGGAGTGAAAAAAACCTTTAATAAAAAGAAATATGGAATGATGATCAATAATGAAAGATGAAGTAAGGAAAGTGATGAAGAGAAAAGCAGCAGACCTATATAAAATAAATGTTTAATGCATAAAAAATTTTGAATTCCTTTCATCACAGAACTTCTGAATAAGATATATTAAACTTGCAAGATAACAACTGACATGTCATAATAAATTTTCATTGCAGTACCTAAAACAAACGAGCAGTTGAATGGGAGTTACACAGAAAAATATACTTTACGAGCTACATACTCATGGACAGAGTGAGAAACAAAATATACCGAGATAGCAGAAGCACAGTGTGGATTTGTTGAAGATAGAGGAACAAGAAATGCCATATATTTTCTTATAACATTAATATAAAGAGTAACTGAAATACAAAAAGATTTATGTGTGTGTGTGTTATTGATTACAGTAAGATGTTTGACAGGTAAAGCATGAGGCAATGTTAAAAATTGTGGACAGACTTAGTGTTGATGGTAAAGACCTCAGAATCATCTACAATCAGTACTGGTAACAAAGTGCATTCATAAAGATAGGAAATGATATTGGAACTTTTCAAGAAATAAAACAACTTGTCAGAAACTGCTGCTTAGATTGTCGGATGCTGAACCTTGTGACAAAGTTGGACTCTGAACCTTTGGGCAACCCAGAGGCTATCATGGGGAACTAGACAGGGCTAAATTCTTCTCCAAGATTGACCTCAGTAATGGTTATTGGCAGATCCTGATGGAGACAGGATCTAAAGAGAAGAAAACCTTTGTGATGCCATTTAGGTTAGTGAACTCAGCAGTGACATTAAACTGCATGATGAGAAAGATATTGCACAAAACCACTAACATTGAGCATTATGTGGATGACATTCTGACTTTCACAGACAGATGGGAAGACCACTTGAAGCGAGTTGGAGAGCTGTTTGGTTGAGTGAGGGCTGCGGGGCTGACCATCAGACCATTTAAGTGCTATATTAGTTATTCTGTACCAGACTTTGTTGGACACAAGGTGGGCTGCCAACAGATAGCCATGAAAGAGGAGAAGCTAACCCAATACATGATACATCAGCTCCAACAAGCGATAAGTCAGATATTTCCTGGAGTTAGTGGGATACTATAGGAAGTTCATCACAAACTGTGCTGAAGTTGCTACACCATGGTCTGACCTGACCAAGAAAGGCCAACCCAACAAGGTGAAGTGGGAACAACCACAAGAGATGGCATTCCAGAAGTTGAAGAACATGATAGGAAGTTCACCAATCCTTAGAATTCTAGATTTCAACAAACCATTCATCATTTAAGCCAATGCATGAGGCTTTGGAATTGGAGTAGTACTTCTGCAAGAACATGAAGATAAGACTATTTCCAGTGATGTACATCAGTAGAAAGCTGTTGAGCTGTGATCGAATGAGTGTGTCTGGCCATGGTACTTGCCATCTGGAATTTCCAGAACTACCTATACGGGAAGGAGTTCATCATCCAGATGGATGATCAACCCCTTGCATACATCTAGAACTGCAAAATTGACAGTGTGAGGATCATGAGATAGGTGTTGTACCTCCAGAACTACCAGTTCCACATTGAAGCCATCAAGGGGACTGCAAATGTTGGTGCAGACTGTACGAGTAGTCTTAATATGTGGTATAAAAAATATTTTTCTTGAAGAGGGCTTACTGTTAGATATAGATGACTGTTTAAGTTTAATGCAAGAATTATGATTTAGATAGTTTAAGTGTATATGGAGTATTAAATTTAGTTATTTTTAGAAGTGATTGTTTATCGCAAATTTGTTTCACTGCTTAAGAATCGTATGTTGTGTAGTTCAGTTGTTGTGATTGTTGTATTATTGCATCATGTGACAGTTTTTTCATTGTTTTAATTGAGTATTATTGTGTAATAATATATTGTAGTGCATAGAACATTCTAGGTCTCTGTCAGGTTATAAATATGCATCAAAATATAATTTGAGTTAGATATAGTTAGCTAGATCTAGATGGCTTGATTGTGAGTTTAACCATAAAGAACATATGATAGCAATTTTTAAAGTGAAATTGTCACAGACTGTATTGCAACAAGATAGCAGAAAGAATAATTCATCTTGTCAAATTGTGTTCTAAAGTAACTGAACAAGCCCATGTGGACTTTGACAAAAAAAAGAGATAATTATTGAAAGTTTTGGATACAACTGTGATAACCAATGGTGTAATGAATATTTGTATATACATATAACTTGTTTTAATATATTATTTTAAAGCAAGTGGACTGTGTGTTGTTTGTTTATTGTTGAAATTTATCACCAACAAGTTACAGACACATACTGGAAAGAATCCATCCATACTTAAAACCTGACACTTATGTTCCCCTCTCTTGAACATATACTTCTTGTGAGCTACTGTGTTCTGTTATTTATAAGCACCCTTTTGTTACCCTCTCTTGAACATACTTATCTTCAATATTTAACAACTTACCTTGAAACACATTTCACAAGCATCTCCATTTATCTTAGTATCCCAATCAATCAGAAATAATTCCTACTCATCCTCTCAAAATCAGCCTTCCCAAATTTTGAAAAAAAATTTATTGATCACCATATGTAAAACTATATCAAACCTAATTTTACAATGATCATTTGTCCCTAGCTACTCCCCCACTTCAGCACTCAACTATATCTACCTTAGGGGTTAGTAATAAATCTAAAATAGCATATTCTCTGGTAGGTTCCCTAAACATCCTGGACTGTTTCCAAGAGCCTATCACCAGTTGAAATCAAACTTTCCTATTCAGTGAGCCTAAAATTAAACTCTTCCATGATAATATATCAGTTTGAATTATAAGCTGTTTTTTGATGGCAAGTGTATTGACATAAATTTATAATAAAGTCATTTTAGTTTTGTATGTAACACTAAATGTTTATGACATGGCAAAAGAGCCAGGCCCACAAGCAAAGGGTTAACAGGTTGTTGTTTGGACATCAGTATTTACTTGTTAGTGTTTTATGTTTCCTTGGTATCAGGTTTTTTGGCTGTCATCAGTGCATATTTTATTAGTTTTCTATTGAGATAACAGGTTTCTTTTATCAGATTATTGTGATTGGATTTTTTTGAGTTGATTGTCATCCAGGAATCACATTTTTATTGTTATTTACCTTGTTATAATTTGAGATACTACAGAGAATTACGTAAATTATATTAAAATGATTTTGAACATACAAATCAACAAGTCTCATGACAACCACGACTGGTATAAAATTGAGGTGAAATGGCATGTATCAGAACTAAATTTTGACATTGCTTGCGATTTCATAGGTTATGATGTCACCAAAAATTGATTATTTTGGAGAAGTGTGTGTAATAGCCCTTTTCACACAAAATATTCATACACAAAGATGTGTTCAGATCAGGAATATCAAAGAATGGAATATCCCTCATACTTATGTCATTAGGAAACAAAGAAATATAGATCAACTTGGGACACCTACCCAGAAAAGAGACCTGCAACAAGTTGTACCTCTGTTGTGCTAAGCAAAATGCAGTGTCTTGCATCTTTTAACAGGAGAAAATTTATTAACATAAAGGTCAATAGCAAAAATCTATCATTCCCCAGACAAAAGTATGCAACATAAGAAGTATTCCTGTTTGGAAAAGCTAGTCGCATGATCATGATAGATCCATTCAACCATCATGTACCTCAAGCCGCTGGCAAATGAAATAAGTATTCATTTTATTGTATAGGACATAATGGTCAAGTCACCAGACACAACACCTATAGATTTTTGTGTGATTGGGCTGTTGAAACTGGTTCTGGGAAATTGTAATTCTCATACATTAGATATATTATTAAAAACAAGCAGGGAAGTGTGATGTACTTGGGCCATGACAACCTTATAATAGACCCTTTTACACTAAGAATTGTTGCAGGGCTGTTGTCAAGATGCATAGTTGTCATATAGGGCATGGTCAGACATGGTGGCATGGATTTTAAAGACATGGTGAGATTAAAATTGTGTTAACATAATGTACTCAACCTCTGTCATGTCAAGTGAAAGACATATCCTTAAATTTTCTCACAGAATGTTTATAATTTTTTTTTGGTAAATTGCTGCTTTCCATGTTTAAAAACTGCAGAAGCTAGTTACAGATGAGCATACTGTTTGTTTTTTGTATTTGTTTTAACACAGGATCTTTCCCTCAAACAGAGGCAGAGTAATTTTTTAGATGGCAGGTTAAGGAACAAGAAATTTTATTAAATGTTTCTTGAAGGTATTGCATACAATGTTTGAAAGTCCAGAATCTTGTGTATCCAAATATGCAATCTACACGATGGTAATTTGCTGTCTGGAGTTATGAACAGTCAAAGAAACAGAGTTTTGGAGTGGCTTGCATCAACTTACCAACAATGGTCACATACACAAATTGGTTCTTTGTTTTTACTTCTCAACTTAAATTATGAGACATTTTTTCATCGTCTGTTTGAGGTTAGAGACTTTGTTCTCAATTTTCTGAGGTCCTGTGTTAAATTCATTGTGGTAACAGCAAATTAAGGATAAGTATACATAATTTATGTTTTTTATTTAGCTACAGTGTCATTATAATTGCTGAAATGGTACTTCCACGATTGACAAAAGCACTCCGGGCTTTTTCCTACATAAGTGATCCTTCTGTTAGAGAAGTTGATGAAGAAGTAGATGTCTTGGCAAAAAAAAGAAAAGAGAGAGCTGAGAGGCATATAAAGTAAGTTTTTGTTTTCCCATTTATTTCAAATGGTTGTACATTTTAATTGTGGATAAATAAACCACATACAGTAGATTAGGTTTAGTCACTATAAATTCATATTGTATGAACTCTTAGGATGTACTAATTAATGATCTAAATCAGATTTTAACCCTCACTACAGACATGTTTTTCTGTGCATGTCATGAGGTTATACTGAGTTACATTCAAAATTCAATTAAACTACTTTATTATCATGTTATATGAATAAAATTGGCATCAAACTTAGTTATAATCCAAATTTAATATTACATAAGTTTTAAGTTCTTAGTTTTATAATGTAATATTAAAAAAATCCTCAATTTCCCCTAGTATGAGACTTACAAGATTTGCTCTCTAGGTCTTTCATCTTCTCCAATTTATTTACCACCCCTCCGAGAAGTATGAAATTTGATGTAAGTTACTCATTATAATATTGTTATTATTAGGCAGAATTAATTTTTATAGCCTTCAATCTTATTTGGTTGCAGAGTCATAAACTAGAAAATCAGACCCTTTTTCCATGCCCACCTATCACATTTTCTCATTCACAAATTACCATTAGTTCTCTCTGACAATTAATACTACATTATTTATAAACAACAGAAAGCCAAAGTTTTAATCTAGCAAATGACATATTTTTTTATGATGTTTTCTGCAAAGAGTATTTTCTATTTTGCCTCCAGTTCAAACGTTCTTCCCACAAGAAACAGAAACACATCAACGAGCTTAACTGAATTTTTAACAGCCCTTATGGCATAGTTAGAAAGCTAGAAAATGTATTATAGTTATAGGACATTGTCTGCTTTTTATGTGTCATTAACTTATTATTCTGTGCTCTCGGTGCATTATTTAATTAAATAAAAAATTATTTAGTGTAGAAGTACTTATTAGTATAAAAAAGTAAGATTAAATTTCATCGACAGTCTACAGAAAATAAAGAAGATTCAGGTAAGTACTATCATGTGTATTCTTTATTTATTACTATAAGAATAACTATAATGTAAAAAATTAGAAACTTTTTATGTTAGATAACATTAAATTAGGTAAAATCAAGAAGAAAAAAATATCACGAGGTTCACTTGCGAGTAGCACATACCTTAAGTGATTTGATAGCATGAGCTACATGTTTGCCAAGTACTTTACAATTTGTTTGGTGAGGTTATTAGTTAGACATGGTTTAAAGAGGCAATAAAAAATTAAATTTAAATAGAAACAGATGTATACTGATTTGAGTTTTAAGCTATTT